GCAGTATGTTCTAAATGGTTCTAGGACTAGTAGTAGCCAAGGATGCAGTATGTCCTAAATGGTTCTAGGACTAGTAGTAGCCAAGGACACAGTATGTCCTTATTTTCATAATCTCTGACTGAAAGTAGGGGAATGGGCTTATTATTGGTCAATTATATAGCTTTTGCTGGCATTTCTTTCTAACTGCAATATATAATGGTGGGCTTATTACCAAGCATGGGCTGATTGGAAGATAAATATGGTACCTTTTTTACTTTGATAAGATTTAATGGTAACATTTGGAATGTTGGGTGTTGTTACCTTCATATGAAGTCATGCTGAATTAAGCATACTTATTTGAAGTACACATGTATAACATTTCACCTGGTATACGTCTCAAGTTTCCTGTTGTTTATTATGTGATTACAATTTTTAGCTGGAGAGATCGCAAGATGGCTTTTCTGTGGTGGCCGATTACTTTGGAAGAGGTGTTTTCAATAAGGTAAATAGGTGTTTTTTTGTAGTATATATGTGTGAAAAGAAATGTTGCTTCAATGATGGAGTGAAATTGAAAATCTATGGAATCAATTCTGATGATGGAATCTCATAGTCAGTGGTCTTGGAAAATTTCTTACTCAAGTTTCTTATGTTCTCTTGAAAATATAAATATCAAAGTTGAGAATTTTTTGAGATCCAAGAAAGTTCAAAACTTTTAAATTTCCTGAAGAAAATTTATTAATGTTCAGATAATTGTCTTATTACAGGTTGGACATAGTTACATTATGGAAGTGACATTCTAATTACCTTTGATCAACTCATAAGTTGAATTTTGATTTCCATCACTTGATCTTGGTTTGGTGGTTAGTATAACTTGTCGTGTGAATCGGGATGAGGGGGCCAGATAATTGAGTACGTTCGCTGTTGCTGCTTAAAGCCTGACTTGAGCATCATGTTAAACGATTCTCAAATATATTGAGAGCACTTCAGTTGATATTAGCGATTATACAATCAATCTGATTATATGTTTCATGATGTGTTTTTCTGTGTTTCACAGGTGACAATAATAACGGATTCTCCGACTAGACAAAAAGGCGGGGCTGGAACCAGTTATCCCTCAAAACATCTATAAGGACATCTTTTAATTAAACAAGACTTGCTACATTACTTTAATGAATTCATGGCTGGTATCCTGTGCCCAAGACTTGCGGCATCTGTTAATGAAAACACATCATGCCCTGTGCCTATCAGGGATGGCTGTTTGAGTGTAATGAGAACTCATCATGTCTGCTTCTCCAATGTTTACAAGACTAGTCGCATCTTTAAAATGTGAAGAAATCTTGGTTACTCACTTGTGCCAACAAGACTACTCACATTACGATGAGAATACCTTATTGCTGTTCTCCGAGGAGAACCCTCGGGGTCAGGCTGGTGACCTCATACAACATCACTTCCAATCCGGCAAACCCTTGCTATCTTGTTTAAAAGAATCTGCTGTCCACTGTGCTGTCTGACTTAGTGTTCTTTGTATATTGAATTCTTGCCATGTTACTACCCAATATTTACTTGACTCTTTGTTTTTTTGTTGACAAAAAGACCTTATTGAAATTAAATTGGTAAACAGTTATCATCAGTATGTAAAATAGAGTGAAATGTTATTATGGAAGGCGTTCAAGTGCTAAAATAGGATATTTTGTTTTCATTTCAGACAAGTCTGAGCAGATGAACCTATATACATGAATAGGGAAACTATATTAAGTGCAATATATGTGTGTGTAGGTGTGAACATTAACATGCTAGAGTAACCTTAAGTTCGGTATTTCCTCAATGATAAGTCCATGTTCAGTACCATAATGATTCTGTAATAAGCCCAGGGGTCCACTTTAAAATGGGAGTTCAGAGGTTGAGGATGGGTCTATTGAATGGATAAGGATTATATTAAAAACTAACTTAAAAAGGTGGTGGGCGGGATAATACCAGACATGGGCTTATTGACAGATAATTCGGTAATAAGCCCACCAATTATAAAACGGAAGAAAACTTAAATGTATAAATGTTCTTCTTGTTAAAGATTTTTTTTTTTTTTTTTTTAAATTAAGTTTTCACAAGCAAAAAACTAAAAATGGAGGGGCATTGTAGATGTTGTGGGCAAAATTCCAAAATTTAGATGGTGTTTACACAATCCTTCACTTTGGAGAAAACACTTGTTTTTGAAGTTCAATTGTTGTTTTGTTGTAACTGTTAATTTGTTTATACTAATGTCCTGTGTGTCACTTCTGTTTTCTGTTATTTTACAAAGGCACTGTCATGATTGTTGGTTTATTATTTCATATGCGAGTAATTAGATACCAAGGTACGTTTGGCTACAGAGTAGACTTTTACATGCTTAACTGTTTTTGGTTTGTTAGCTGTCGTTATTCTTACAGTGTGTTTGCTTGAAATTATATAGCTTACATCTACTATGCAAACTGGTCCAGTCATAGAATTTACAATTAATACACCATAGACAATAGGTCTATTAGATATAGATTTCTTATAGACCAGCTGAAAATTTGATAGACCATAGCTTGACCAAGAAAAGTTTACTTATTTTTATGCTTGGTAACACAAAATTAAATAAATCATTTATGTGCTAATATAATAAAGAAAGATAAGGAATTGAACAAAACACCTTTTCCCCCCACGACAAATCATACCAATGAATCAAACACATCATATAAAATAACTTTATAGACAAATTGGTCTATGAAGTAAATATTGTCTATGAGTTGTCTCCCCTTTCTTTAAGTACGCCAAAATGTTATGTCACAATTTTAACTTCGGCTTGGAGGATAAAGATTTTAGATCCTTGTACCACTGCCAAAAAACTGTAACAATGAATTGGAAACCTTTTTTGGCATGGAAAAAAAAATCTTGAAAAGAAACCCTTACCTTGCAAAATATTATGAAAACTTAAGAAATGAAATAAAGATATCAACATAAGTTTCTGAGATTAAAAATGGAATGGGGCCAGATCTGGATTCATACCCAGGATCTCCAATTAAATGATGGCCACTCTTACTAACAGACCTACCTGATCAGTAGTAATTTCCCGGCCTAGTTCCACTACAGTCATGTCCAAAACGGAATTAAGGGGAGGTAACTATGTATGGATACAAACGATGATGGAATTCCTTAGCGTTGTGCCTTAAGTGGGACAAGGATCCCAAATCAAATTTTCACATTTGAGTTGAAGCCGGTTATAGCTGCATACAAGTGTTCCCAATGATAATGATTACAGTGTTGTATTGTACAGCAAATCGGCCAAAACTGTTGCTAGGGTTGATTTTGGCTGAACAGCTGTGAAATTCAACACTTTAATATACATGAATAAGTATCAAATACTCTAATTATTTTCATGGGGATCTAATGTGAGGTGACAATTACAATCTGAGGCTCTTTGAAATCCAGGAAGGTTTTACGAAACGTTCCTGAAACTCGAACCATGAACTCTTAACCCTTTCACCCCTAAAATGTATGTAACTTTAGTAGACTCTCCCATGCATACATTGCTCTGGAAGAGTCCTTATGGTCTACAGTGGTGAAAGGGTTTATTACATACAGACAGTTCGCTCATTGAGCCATTTGATCATCTGAGAGAATGCTATTATATTCTTTGAGAAGGTCACATAGGAAGATTGAAAAGAGCCTATGATTGTAAAAATATTACTTTAAATTGTGACCATATTATTTTTGCTTATATATACATGTTAAGATAGGTGATGCAATCACAAACAGTTGATATCATTTCAAGAGCAAAATGTGAAAACAATTTGAACTCAAACTTTTAACATTTTAGTTACAAATGAGAAATGACATGAGAAAGTGTGTATTGTATTCCGTTGTTTTTGTCAGTCCTTGTCATTGAATGTCCCTAGTTATCAAAATATTTTTTCTGTGATATCATGATACAAACCAAATTGTATTATCATCAAAATTATCTAAATAAAAAATTGAAGATCCGTTGTATCTTATCTTTGTATTTTAAACACTGTATGTCATGTTTTCTTGTCACTTTTTTTGGTGTCTTTAATACAATCCGCAAAATTCTACTCGCCCATAAACTTTTTGCCGACATTAAAATATATAAATAAATCAACGAGGTAATTTGTTTTAATGGTTCTTTTCATTATTTCTGTGTCTTGAGCACGATCCACAAATTCTACTGAGCCACAAAATATTTGCTGATGTTAAAATAAATGAATAAAATCGATGGTAGAAAGCAGTTCAGTGTGGAATAACTTTATTTCTTGTTATAATATCATTTTTTTTTACCAATGTCCATGTAAATTATGTGTTGTTATACGCCAAAGATATGATATTAGTTTTATTAATTTTACCAGTGAAATGAATGGTTTCACAGTGAAAATAAAACTTTTAGAGTTTTTCTTGTTTCATATCATCATTAACGTTAACAGATATGCATTTCAATTATTACATTAACGTTAAAAGCAGCAAAGTAAAATATTTTATCAATATTCAGACAGAGACTGTGTGGTTCCCATCGTTTCCGCTACATTACCTTGTTTCAGAGCTAAACGCTGTTAGACTCGCCTTCAGACTGAGGGACTATATGAAACACATTGTTTCCACTGTATATCACACTATCCATGTGTGATTCTCGGCATTTAAGACTTATATAAGTATCACAGTTCTCCACTACCGTCCTCCTCTCCAACGCTATCTTGCTCTGGATCAGGAACTTCTGACGACGCGGAAGACATCCTGGCAACATGGATTACGTTTTGGAATAAATCCTCAGAATCTGTATCCTCTCTGTTGTCGTTTCCTTCCACCTCGGGGATCTGTTCCCCTGCGATACTATTATCTCCAGCCGTCTGGCTTTCTGTGGTTGTTGAATTATAATCGTCGTCCCCTCCCGTAATATTAGTCTTTCTTGTGTGGTTGATCGTATCGTAAGCTTCTTCCATCTCTTCAATTGTTTCTAAGGAATTGTTAAGTAGTCTTCCATCGTTATGTTTTGCTGTTTTGCCGGATTTAGTAATATTGTGAAATTGGTACCGTGATATTTCAGTTTTGTCATGTTTATCCATAGTGTGAGTAGTTTCGTTTATGGCGTCTTGTGTGACATTTCCTATGCTATTATCACTAGTGTCACCACTTGTATGTCCGGTATCGAATTCTTTAGTTAAAGAAGAATTGCCTCTGTCCTCGTTTAGAAAGTTAGAATAGTTTAATTTCTGCGTCATATTTTGGACGTAAAAGTCGTTTTCAGTTTCGTTACTTGGCAATTGTTCGATATTTTCAGATATATATTCCTCTGTATTTTCAATTGCACTTTTAAAGGTAAATCTTTTATTTAGAATCGTGTTGTTATGTTCAGAGTTATTTCGTTTTTCTTGAACAATTTTGTGCCCTGATCCATTCTTGTTTGTTGGATATCCCTTTTTTGGCATGGAGTTTGGAATTTCATTCACCGCGCTATGATCCAATCCTTCAAATGGATTCGGGATTTTCCGTCCCGGAAGAAAGCACTCTGGCTCCCGTCTACATTCCGGCCCACACCACCACCCGTAGTCACAACACTGACATATGACGTCATGCGCGTAACAGACGACGGAAGCCCACGTGCAACAGCCGTCATAGTTACCACAGCAACCCCAGTCTGAGCCGTATAAATGCCAACCGTCTTCGTTCGGACAGGCCGAATTACTAAAACAACGAAACAATAGCATAAATCAAATCTGTTCAAATAAAATTAAAAATTAAGGCACGTCTTTTAATGACCTTAGCCGTTACAAGTCCTTTATGTAACATATGTCTTATAATGATTTTAAAAGAATATTGAAGTATTACCAATCAACACTTTTAAACAGTGCAGCATTCATCGTTTCAGAAAGAATTTTCTGTGTATCTTCGAACAAGCACATACTCTTATTGTTTTCTTACCCTCAGTGGAAACATTGCAGTTTTCCATGTTTATGAAGTTATTGCGTTAATGCATCTTTGCTATGGCAGAGCATGTTCTAATAATCAGGCTCGATGCATGCGTCTTATTGACAAATGCACTATACAGACGAACTTTTCTATGAAAAATGAACGCAAGACATATACATATGATTGGTGCTCGAATTGGCAATAGCTAAAGTATGTCAGAAATGAATTACACTGCCCATACAACTGTTTTATTCTTCTACGACCCACAGGTGTTGCTAGGGGCCGAACAGATGGAAATTTAAATTGGTCTAATTTACTACTGCTACCGAAGGGCATATATGGAAGCATATGAATTTCACAAATCGGAGGAGTAACCATTAATTTCAAACTAATGAGCAGTAAAGTGTGTATATTATAAACCTTGCTAATACACAGAAGAAATAGTATGGCCATCCATAGCAAGGCTATAGGAAACCTCGGGAACTAAGAAATCAACCAGCAGAGTCTACCTCCTTGTATCAATAAAATTTGTTAATAGACACAGTTAGCCGAAAATGAATTACACCGCTCCTTATACTTATTTCGTCCTTCTAGGACTCATCGATGAGGTTTGAGGCCAAAAAGGCAATTCACTAACGGTCATAGACATAGCGACCAAATCTTTATAATGGCAAGCATTGAAGTCCTTTAGTTGGATAACAAGTACTTATGACGACCGTCGAGGCGTGCACTATACCTGCAGTTGTGTCGGGCACATGACCGGAGTTCTGCACGACTCTTCACGTTCCTCTTGTTTCGTAACAAAACTAAACCTGAAATATAAAGACATATGAAAATAATAAAAGCATACGTTCAAAAGCACATTTTGTGGGTGTGTGGGTGTGTGGGTGTGTGTGTGTGTAAATTCGTGAGTTGAAACAGGAGACTTGTTTTTATACATTCTGTTTTTCGTGTCCATTTTCGACGATGATGGGTGTTATATTATTGTGTGTGAAATGTAAACTGGTATGAAAGAGTATGAGGAATTACCAAGAATACCAAGAATAAAAAGCACTGCATCATACAGCTGTTTCATAAAAAAATCACCAGCAGAAAATACCACCTTGTATCTAGAAAGTTGAACGTATTACACATTTAAGTTGTAAACAATACGCGGAAGTCAATTGCTGCCGGTGGCAAAAATAAAGAGACGGAAACAAATTTGAACTATACAAAATAGGGCTAATACGTCAATGGAAAATAGATTAGACACATAAAATGGCTTAATGATCCCCGTACCACTACTAAAAATTGTAACTATAAATTGGAAACCTTTTGCAGGCATAACAATAGATGTGAGAAATCATCTCCATACCATAAAACGAAAAAGAAGAAGATATAAACAACAGTGTATATATGAACCCTGGACCTCCGATCACAAAAAAAGTTGTCCCAGTCCCAGCAGGCCAGTCTGTCCTACTGCAGTCTCTGGTGTTTTGCCCGGAATGGGACAGGTATCCTTAACATTTACATACTCAAAGCGTGTATTACGTTTCTATGGGTAAACAGTGGAAACAAATGATCATTTCAGTAAATAAAGTGTTTGTGGATATATCATAAATCATAGATATAGGGTTATACATGCATTTTTTTTACCTTTATAAAGGTGTGAAACACAGATCCGTTTATCGAATCACAAAGCACCATTAGCCTTTTCTATGAAGACTATAGTCAAGTGTAATGGTCGTAAGCATGATCCGATATGCAAATAAGCTATTGTGTGATATGGAGGTAGGTTTTCTAAATTATGCTATTGTGTGATATGCAGGTAGGTTTTCTAAATTATACTATTATGTGATATGGAGGTAGGTTTTCTAAATTATGCTCATAACTGTGCCTTGAGTTTTCATTGCCACTAAACAACTCTGTTCTCAATTTGAGGACGTGTCATTACTTGGTTTGACCTAGACCTACAGTTACATGGCGGATGAAACAAAAGATGCCCACCCTTCCTGAATACCTAATCCTATTCTTTTAGTTATTTCAGTTTGAATTTGAATTATGTCCTTATAAAAAACCACTGTAGTATATTTTCTTCTCCTTTAAATTAAAGGAAAGCTGCATTGGGAATCACCGCTCTAACCAGGTGAAACAACATCACTATTCAGGGATTTCGATATATCCTCGAAAGTATGTTCAAAACTCCAAAAAATGAGCGCTGACTGTTGGGTTTTAATGGATAGACACATTTTACATCAACATTGACAGTCGAAATTTAAGGGAAATTTAAATTTGGCTCTTAAAAAAAATGCTCAATGTCAAGGGTCAACTAGACTACATACATACCTGTTTTAGGATACGGCGCTTCCGTTGTAAAGCATACGAAAGCCGACAGCAATAAGAACTGAGTCGTCCCCATCTATGAAAGAAACAAATGCTACATTTATACCGGAGATTTGTAGAGTTTTATAATCTTTAAAATGTAGCAAAAAAATAAAATAAAAATATTCTTTGAATTTCTGATAAATATTGTTCTAGAATTCAAATTGATCGTCAGAGGCAAAACAATGAAAATATTCACATTTTAACAATATATGTATATTGGAAAGCATTTGATTTGAAATATGATCGATCATGTAACTCAGCGCCAAATCCGTACATATTTCATATAAATGTAGTTAGATATGATGTAAATATTTTGTAATAGGATTCTCCACTTACCTAGGTTATTCCATCGGTGACAAAGCATCCGAGATCACAAAAATCCTTTGGATTTGAATGAATTCAAACATGCGCAATAACAGAGGTTTCATTCATTAGGAATTAGCCAATGCGCCAATAATGTATACGATTCTGATTTTCTGACTCAAAGTATGTGTTTGCACTTCACACAATCTAGCATTCTCCTCAAAACAAAGAACTCTGTATTTACATTAACTCCACTGCACAAGTAAACCATTCTGCTATGTAATTGCCTGTTCCTGTATAAACATCCTTCTTATAAGTTGTTTACAAGCAGACTATGTTATACTTAAAATTAGAACGGACTTTTTTCGAGAATCAAACACTCCAGAATACCTGCGTAGAAGTTTCATATATATATATATATAACTGTCTTACTTACAGTTGTGTAACGTCTTACAGGAAATTGACATCAGTTTGTGGCGCAAGTGAAACAATCCACATGGCGTTATTTTTTATGTTTTGATTAATTTTATTATATTCCAAAACGGAAGTCGTATTTATAAAGATCAGATAAGGTCAATATGTCTGACCTTTGACCTAATATCAGGTGATACCATTTTGTGATATCAGGCAGCAGTTGAATACATGGTCCTGCTTTATTATGCAGTAATAAGAAGCTGGCAAATTGATTACCTCAATGGCAACACTAAGAGGTTTTCATGTATTTTATGTATCTGATCTACAGGCAAACTTTGTACCTTTTATGAGTCATGCGTTAAAAAACAGTTTTGGAACTTATTGAAGTATCATATATACAAATGTGATTTTGTTAATTTGTCAAAAAAATAAATTGGTTAGATATTTGTTTGCTTGTGACAGCATCATATCATTATATATTAAAATGTTCATTTATTATGACATCATGTTTATTGTGAATTTTGAATCTCTTTAAATCAAGCTGTTTCCTAAAGACCTGCTAAAGAGCAGAAAGAACTTGGGACTATTCCACTGTTTGAAATGGATCTAAGCGAACTTAGAACCAGCTTGATCGCCCCTTGCTTATATCATCTGTAGTTCTCTTTCTGATGGTTTCAATTAAACCGAGGAGTCCATGTCGGTCACCAATGGCTCATGTCAAAATGTAAATATCTTTGACATGAAGGACAATGGAACTCCCTAACAAGATAAGGTGACACATTGAGAATCCACAATTAAAGTGTTAGGCCATAGTTTTTATCTTGAGTGTTAGTCGTAAACTGATAGACACTTCATCACGCCTACTTGACTCATCATATGTGGCTTGTTACACGATACACCAAGTCCTTATCAATTGTTATTTGTAAAAATAACAACATTACAACCTCGTCAGTTTGTATTGTCACTTAAGACGGCTACATCCTCATCAAATGTAAAATAACACAGCCACAGTATCATGTATTATTACTTGATCATACCCCGAAATAATGCATACAAAATATATGGTATCATCTACACATAAAATTATGACCTCGTAATTTTATTCAATGTAACATAAATGTTTTTCTATACACAGTCGGTTTAAGAGACCATTGGAAGTGGTTAACTGTACCACGCCTACATAGCAGAGAAAATTTCTAAGTGTTTTACATAATGGGCGACACTTATACCCCATAGTCAAGTGTATACTATTGGATAATTAATCCTTTACAGCGTCAGACTTCCCGACGTTTAAACATTTTTATATTACAGTTTATTATTTTTTTCATATTATTCCCGACAAGTGATTGGCCATGAGTGCATCACGTGTCCACCGATAAAAAACCGATATTGACTTAAAGCGCGTGATTTTTGTTGAAGGACTGTCTGTTTCTAAAAATAGAATTATGACTAGAAAATTGCATTTTAAAACAGGTTTATCATATTTTTTTATATCTATATCTATTACTATGAATTAAGAATGCTAACAAAGATAAGTAAATGAATATTAAGGGTGTTAAAGTGTCCAGTCATTCCAGGCTAGGTCCAGGTAAGGTCCAGGCAAGGTCCAGTCAGTCCAGGCAAGGTCTAGTCAGTCCTGACAAGGTCCAGTCAGTCCAGTTTAGTGGTAAAGTAAGGGAAGGTAAAGGTCTAGGCAAGGTCCAGGTAAGGTCCAGGCAAGGTCCAGTCAATCCAGGTAAGGTCTAGTCAGTCCAGGCAATGCCCTGTCAGTCCAGTTTAGTGTTAAAGTAAGGGAAGGTCAAGGTCCAGGCAAGTCCAGGTAAGATCCAGGCAAGGTCCAGGTAAGATCCAAGCAAGGTCCAGTCAGTCCAGGCAAGGACCAGTCAGTCAAGACAAGGTCCAGTCAGTCCAGTTTAGTGGTAAAGTAAGGGAAGGTAAAGGTCCAGGCAAGATCCAGGTAAGGTCCAGGCAAGGTCCAGTCAGTCCAGGCAAGGTCAAGTCAGCCCTGACAAGGTCCAGTCAGTTCAGTTTAGTGTTAAAGTAAGGGAAGGTAAAGGTCCAGGCAAGTCCAGAGAAAAGTCCAGTCACAGTCTAGTCAGTCTAGGCAGGCCCAGTCAGTCCAGTTTAGTGTTAAATTAAGGGAAGGTAAAGATCCAGGCAAGACCAGGGAAAAGTCCAGTCACGGTCCACTCATGATCCGTGCAAGATCCAGGTTGATAAGGTCCATCCGAGGGATCTAGAGTGGACCTACAATACATATATATATATATCGAGTGAAGAGTGTGAAAAATGCATTTTAAAACAGGTTTATCATATTTTTTTTATATCTATATCTATTACTATGAATTAAGAATGCTAACAAAGATAAGTAAATGAATATTAAGGGTGTTAAAGGGTCCAGTCATTCCAGGCTAGGTCCAGGTAAGGTCCAGGCAAGGTCCAGGTAAGGTCCAAGCAAGGTCCAGTTAAGTGTTAAAGTAAGGGAGGGTAAAGGTCCAGGCAAGATCCAGGTAAGATCCAGGCAAGGTCCAGTCAGTCCAGGCAAGTTCTAGTCAGTCCAGACAAGGTCCAGTCAGTCCAGTTTAGTGGTAAAGTAAGGGAAGGTAAAGGTCTAGGCAAGGTCCAGGTAAGGTCCAGGCAAGGTCCAGTCAATCCAGGTAAGGTCAAGTCAGTCCAGGCAATGCCCTGTCAGTCCAGTTTAGTGTTAAAGTAAGGGAAGGTCAAGGTCCAGGCAGTCCAGGCAAGGTCAAGTCAGCCCTGACAAGGTCCAGTCAGTTCAGTTTAGTGTTAAAGTAAGGGAAGGTAAAGGTCCAGGCAAGTCCAGAGAAAAGTCCAGTCACAGTCTAGTCAGTCTAGGCAGGCCCAGTCAGTCCAGTTTAGTGTTAAATTAAGGGAAGGTAAAGATCCAGGCAAGACCAGGGAAAAGTCCAGTCACGGTCCACTCATGATCCGTGCAAGATCCAGGTTGATAAGGTCCATCCGAGGGATCTAGAGTGGACCTTCAATACATATATATATATATCGAGTGAAGAGTGTGTACGACACATTCAATGGCTCAAGCTCAGATCGATCAGATTAAACAAGAAGACATCAGCGTTACAGACATTTTAACCAACAGGTTCGTTTGTCGTGTCAGTCTTACACAGGAAGTCATCATCAGAAAACTTGTGTGATTGAACCGAACTTTAATCGTATACGCGACTGTGTATCTATGATACAATACTATTTATCCATTACCAATGGTGGTCATCCTGTTTAATCCAATGTTATGTTTCAGTTTATAATTCTATAATGACCGAAAGTGAGCGTATCACATCGATTGGGTAAGACCCAACACTTGTCATCGAAGGCACACAGACCCGACTTATTGACAGTGTAAACGTACAGTTGATGTTTATCGCTTCTAATCGAATTCATTTGACACATTTTAATCTTGTTTTCGAATAAACAGTCTCTATACATTTCGTGCCTTAGATCACGTTTAATGGTTGTCTTTGCGACACCTTTAGCTACATGTTTCTCTTCCGTATCGTTTTATAGGACGACGAGATTTTCAATTTCTGTTTGTGTTCGCACAGAATAGACGTAAGGGTACATTTTAGCGCGATACATATCGTCATACACGTCTGGACATTGGACGTGGTATAGAAGACTGTCTATGGCTGTCATGAGTAACTTTATCCCATCTTTATATCTAGGTATATCTAGGTTTAAGGTACTCTTAATAAAACTCGTACATGATACATTTGGACAGATCTAGAATGGTCTGTCCAACATACACGGGTTTGTTCAGTACTAGTTTGGCTTTGTCGTTTTGAATGGCCACTAAATCTTCGTTAAAGATCGTGAATCTTTGAAATGAAGGTCTTGCCACATACTTTTTGAACTTTCTATCCGTGTGTGCCAGCTTGATGTCGACTCTGGAGCGCATGTTCTCCATCGTCTAACCAAATACGGCATGGTTCATGAGCTTGAAGAAGTCTTTCTCAAACTCGTTCTTACATGTCGCTCTTTTAGATGTATTGAATTGTATGTATGATTGTAACCAAGGTTTTTGTTTGAATTCTAGGATTCTGTGGATTTTGGTGATTTTTAAACCTAATTTCACGTACAACTGCAGATTTCTGTAATTGCAGATATATTTCGTCTTGTTTTCTAACGTAGGAATCAGTTTTTCTGTCGGTACGCGCCCTTGTAATTTGTAATCGGTGTGTTTAGGGTTAGAATGTAAACGTTTCCATAGCTGTTTACTGGTTGGAGATAACTCTCCATCGGAGACTTTCTTTCGTTCCGGTGCGAGAGGGTAATCGGAATGGCTGTCGTGAAGTTCGTCTGGATATTCCAGATCTACTTCAAGTACGTACCCCAAGTCTCCGTCTTTGGAGACTTTGGTAATATCAAATGTTTGCGGGTTTTCAACCCAACGAAACCCTCCCACGGGTAATGGTTCTGACATGGCCTTCCCATACAAGTTATTACAATCGGTATACATGATGTACGAGTGTGGTTGAGAAAGGTCGTATGTTTCTGGAATGTAAGGATTGTTAGCTTGAGTGTATTTGTTTGATATCATGCTAACACCACCTCTCACTCCGTTTTCAAAGAAGAGATACATGTCTGGATCTCTGACGAGTTCTTACCTCACTCCTGTCATTTTCAAGACTGCACTCCAAGCCAGACCTGGACTGGTATAGAAGTGAGCCGCATCTAGCCCATAATATTCCAGACATATGTCTCTGAAGTTCTCAAAGACGTCCGCCAATAACAGCACGCCCTTCTTGAGATAGAGATCGTGATACTGACCGAGGTCTCGAATGTTCAGTTTCTCCCACACATTCTGCGCATGCGCGTAATCGGTATCTGATACGTGCGATTTAGTCAACGAACTATAGAATTTCTCATTTGGTGGGAGCCTTTGTTAGGAAAACCGATCGGCGTTGTCCACG